GCGCGCCGGCGAGCCGCCGCTGCTGCGGGGCGTGCGCGTGCACCTGCTGCGGCCGGCGGCGGCGGCGGCGGGGCCGCTGGCGCGGGTGGAGCGGCTGCTGCAGCTGGGGGGCGCGACGATGGTCCAGCAGGCGCCGCAAAACGCCACAGGCGCCCGCGCCTGCGAATTCTCTGACGTGGTCGTGATCTGCCCTGAGTGCGAGGGCAGCCACGGCGACGGCGGCGACGGGGGCGGCTCGGGGGACTCCGCGCGGGCTGCGGCGGCCCGCGCCGCGAGTGCGGCGTGGGGGCAGCGGCCGGTGTCGGCGGACTGGCTGGTGGCGTCGGCGGCGGCGTACCAGGTGCAGCCGCTGGAGCCGTACAGGCTGTGACGCTCGCTGCTTTGACGCTCGCTGCGGTGGCGCTCGCTGCTCAGCCGGCCGCGCCACGCCCATTGTTGTCCGCAGACGGAGTGCTGCTGGCTGCTGACTGCATCACGCCCCATTCTGATTCTTACCACACTTTGTGGCCACCCTCTGAAACCGGCAACAACATCAGATGCAGTGCTCAAAACGAGTAATGACACACCGCGCTTCGCGCCGTGCATTTGTGTGCTGGCCGCAGCACTCAGCCCTGAAAAAGGGGGGCCGCCCCGATCGCACATGCTGCTGGGTGCATGATGTGTGCTCGGGCGTGCAGCTGGGCACTATATGGAGATCACAGAGCCCATTGTCGAGTCACCGCGGGTGCGTGGCCCGCTCAGGGGCTTCAAGCATGGGGGTGTGGCATGAAAGCGAGGCCACTGGGCCGTGACGCAAGTCACGCAGATGGCCGACAAGGAACCAGGAGCCCACAGGCACCATGATTATAGGCGGCCGCGATTATGTGCAGAGCTCCTTTCTGTGGCACCGCTGCTGTGCCACCTCGGCTTGCGTATCATTCTGCCAGTCGCAGCGTCGCGACGGCGCCCCGCCGCCACGACTCAGTAGGGGGGTGCGGAGTGCGTTGTTTTTGGTGCTGTAAATTGCTGTCAACGCCCGTGTAATAGTCGCGTTATTGTACGCGTACCCCATTCTGTATCTCGCGCCTAAAATTCAGCATAGGCGCGTGTCGCAGTCACTGGGGTGATCTCGATACCGCTCACCACGTGGCATCGCACCGAGGCTGCGCGAGGCAGGTGAGCAGCGCAAACGTGTGGAATGGTATCGCAGATATGAGGACCACATCTGCTAAGTGCGGTGGACCCACCAGCGGCATGCGCCGCGCGGTGGCTCTTCGCCGCCTCAAAAGCGCTTTTGCCAACCTGGCGTGTGGGCACGTCGCCCCTCAACACTGTTGCAGGCCTTTGCTCGAGCGCGCCTATTAGGACACCAGGTGCGACATGCAGTCTGCAGGGCAGCGGGCTGGCTGCACCGGCGCGCAAGCGGCAATCCTGCCCCTTGGCGACGGCAGAAGTGCAGGGCCGATGACGGCGCCAGCGCCACCCCCAGCCAGCGGACGCCCATGACCGCCGCAACACATGCAACCTGACAGCAGCCAACGAATGCCCACTTACCATTGCCCGGCCCCGTTGCGGTCACCTCAACCCCCCTCGTCTATGCTCTCCCCATGACTCATGGTCCTCACGCGCAGCGTCAGCGGCTGCGGGCGCCATGCGCTGGGTCCACTCCCTCAATGAGAAGTTCTCGGACAGCAAGGTGCGCTGAAGCGGCGCCCTGCAGCGGCAGGCGCACACGCCTGCCCCGCCCGCGCCCATTGACTGGCGCCCATTGCATCCGAGCGCTGACGTGGCACCAAGCCGCCCCCAAGCACCAGGCTGCGGTCTGCCACCGCACCTTTCTGAGTCAGGGCCGTGCCTCTGCTGAGGGCCCCTCTTGCTTGTGCTGTTGCAGGTGGGGCGCTACTTTGATGTCAAGGGCCGCGGGTCAACATTCACCACAGAGATCAGGGCCGGGCTGGTGACATTCCTGACCAGTGAGAGGGCGAGGGGTGGCGGGGCCATGGTTGGTGCGTGGGGAGGGGGCGAGGAGAGTGCCCAAGGCAGACGGGCGAGGCGAAGTTGGGCCGTGCAGCAGCACGAGCGTCGAGGGCTGCGTGCCCTGTGCTTGGCGGCTGGCTGCGACGCTGCGATGGCCTTGCAGCCCCCACCCCTGCCCCCAGCCCCTCCTGCCTCTCTCCCCCCACGGCAACCCCCACCCCACGCCCCCAGCCGCCTACATCCTGGCCGTCAACAGCGCCATCCTGAGCCAATCGGGCGGCACCTGCAGCGACGCCGACTGCACCGGGCCCACGGCCGGCCAGCCGGGCTGTCGGTTCAACAATGATCCCGGATTCCTGCTCTGCGTGGTGCGCAACTGCGCGCGCGCGCGCACCCGCGTGCCGGACTGGGGACTGAGCGGGCGGCAATAATTGCGGCCGCGCGCTGAATTTGGAACGCCCTGCTGGCGTCCGTGGGCAACGGGCAGCATGAATGTACCGGACCATTCATCGACTCGGCCGCTTTCCTTGCTCGCCCAAATGCTGCCGCCACGCTGCACTGCGCCACTGCCCCCTGTCACCTGCAACACCCCCTTCCCCCCGCCCGTCCCCGCAGCAAGCCGTGCGCCGCAGCCTGATCAGCGCCACGGCGGCCACCTCCCTCATGGCCTGCTTCCTGATGGGCGCGGTGGCCAACCTGCCCCTGGCCATAGCGCCAGGCATGGGGTGAGGCTTTGAGCAGTGTTGGACCCCATACCTCCGCTCAACGCGGCTGGGCGGGGGCAGCTGCAAGGTAGCCAGCCTGTAACCGCCGAGCTCCCAAAGGGGCCTCCCCGCGCGTCACGCTTGTCAGAGCGATGCCGCATACTCTCATGCCTCGTCGCAGCTGCGTGCCACTCACCCTTTGCCCCCCCATCAAATCCTCGTGACCACACCCCCACCCCCACACTCCCCCTCCCCCAGCATCAACGCCTACTTTACCTACTCAGTGGTCGGCTACTACGGCTCAGGAAAGGTGCGCCCCTTAGCAGGGCCTGGCCGCGCCGCCGCCCCACCAGCTGAGGGTGGCCCACACCTCAAGCACAGCCGCGCAAATTGGGCGCACCCCACCTGACGGCTGGCGACGCTGGCTTTCGAGCCTCATGTCGGCCCTCCTTCCCAAACCCTGTCACACAGAGCCTGGAGCCTGAATTCAACACCACGTTCTGCGCCCTGCCCCCTCCCTTGCAAAACACAAGGTCACATACCAGCAGGCCCTCGCGGCAGTGTTCATTGAGGGCTGGATATTTATCTTCATCTCCCTCACAGGTGTGTGTTTGTGTGTGTGGGAGGAGAGGGTAATTGGGTGGTGAGCATGCATAAGGCCCCAGCTGAGCCTTGAGGCTGCAGCAGCGACCCTGCGCGGGGGGACTGAGAGGGACACACTCCGCCGCAGGCCGAGTATGTATGTAGGCCGTCTCAGGGGCCCACCACCGCCACGTTGACAGCCTGCTGCGCCCAGTCCCGTCTTTTTTGCCACGAATAAGGCTGTCCCCCGGAGCCGGGTGCTGTGCCGCCAACTGACGCGTTGTCACCCCTTGTCACCCTGTCACCTCGCGCCAGGCGTGCGTGGCCGCCTGGTGAGCCTAGTGCCGAAGGCCATCATGCTGGCAACAGCGGGCGGCATCGGCATCTTCCTGGCCTTCATCGGGCTGCAGAACAGCGAGGGGTTGGGGCTGGTCTCCTACAACAGCGCCACGCTGGTCACACTGGGTGGGTTAAGTG